AAGTATGATATATATATATATATATATATATATAACAAATTTGCTACATAATATAAACTTTATTTTCTGTTATAGCTGACAAAATTCTGCTATTTATGATTCTATATTTAAGAAAAATTATTTGATTTCTATTTACAAAACTTTTTTCAAGTTTAATTACTTTGTACATAAAAAGCTGCTACACTGAATTTGATTTCTAATTGATCTACTACACTGTTTATGATCATCACAGCTGTCATACATGACTTGTTTTTGTATGAAAATCAGCACTAAGTTGAGAAACTTTAAAAATAAAAGTTTCAGATGAACTTTTATTGAATATTACAAGTAATTTAAGCAATAAATCCCAAATTAATCAAAATCTATTACTTTACAGGACCTGTATGTACCGTATTACTGATAGATGAATGACACATTACTGAATGTGATCTAGATATTTATATGCTTAAATACTGGCACACAACATTATGTAAACTAAAATACAAGTTATACTTCTTGGATCTCCTTTATTCAACAGTAATCCCCCCATAAACTTCCAACATATATTAGACTGTGCCCTGAAGGGGTTTAATTTCTTTGGAACATGACTACTTAATTATGCTTTGATAGAATGTGATGTTACATGATAAATATAGCTTCTATACAACTATAAACCAAAACTAGGCTTCTTGTTCACAACCCAGAGATTTTACATTATTACTTAATCTGTTTTCAATATATGTTACAAAGACTATGACCTGAACTTGTCTAGTTCTTTTGATATGGAGACTGTAACGGTCATAACATGTTTAGTATGTTGATGAATAATATAAATACAGTAGCTACACTATAATTTATTAAGAGATTTGTGTCTGATTGTATGTCTGTATCACTATCAGTGAATGTAATAGTTTCAATTTTCCCATGTATGATCACTATGAATCATTCACTTTCAGTGGATCTTGGGTATGCCCCAAGATTCGAAATCCATTAATTTATTTACTGTATTATTTTTATGAGTTCAGTGACGACTTAAATTTCCCCTTTTTTATTTAAAGAAAAACTTAAAATACTTTTTAGCTTTACACTAATTACAGGAAATTGAAAATGTTGGAATAAAAATGATGCACAACACTCGAACGTGTGTTATAATTAGATAATTTTTATATATTCATCCCACAGTCACACTACGGACTAATTCACTAATTGAGTAATTTACTAATTGACTAGTCCGATATCTTGTGTAATAATCAGTGAATGTTCAATTTGATTGTAAAAATAAAAATGTTAGAACTCAGAAATTCAAATTTAGGCTTTACCGTACTAACTTTATATATTTTTTACCGAAATAACTTTACGTAACCGGAAAACATTAACACAGATATTCAAACATCTGGTGAATCTGAATTACATTCGCTATCCAAAGCTTAACGCTAGACCGGAAAAGTTAAAAACAGAATTCAAAGTCCTAACTTACTTAGGTTGAGGCAACAATAACCGCCTTAATTATTAGAAGTTAGGCTTAACAAATTTGATCGTCTAACGAAATTTTGAAATATTTCTCCCAGTTTATGTGTAGAGTCATAATCATTTAAAAATACATATAAAATATTGAAAGTGACATAAAATACTGAGCATGGTCAATAAAAAATCTTACTTCTATCTCTAATTTCTTCGTTTCAATTTCTGAGTCAGACATCTTTCCAATACGGCGTTGTTCAAAATGGCGGGTAAAAATGTAGCCGATATAAAACCAACCAATACCTTTTGATGTAATAACTATACGTTGCAATAATTGCAATCTAAAATTTCCTAGGATTGGTTGCACTATTCAAAATACTTTTATAATATGTGAAATTTTGTATTATAAGTTATTTATTATTAATACAAGCAATTTTATTTTCATAATCTATACATCATACATATGTTTTTGAAGAAGGATTTCTAATGATTAATTTACAAAATATCAAAACTATTTTTTTTTCATATCATTGGCGCGTCTCGTAATTTCTCAAGTATTTCGCGAGAATAAAATACACACATTTTTTATTATATTGTTACATCTCTGGTGGTTGGTTAATTTTCCGTAAAAATTCTTTCCAAAAAACATCAGTGATACAAGTCCTTTCTTAAATAAAACTAGTTTATTCTTTCTCAATACAACTTTGCAATACACTTAATTTTCACAGTCACTTTAACTTAAACACACGCTATAATTCACAACGATTCACGCATTTTACTTAAGGTCACTACCGCGCTTGACTCAATTCTCTGTCTCTGTCTGTCTGCAATTCAATTAATTATCTCGCTTTATTTGCCTGCTTATATACGGGAGTAGAGGGCGTCTAGCAAATACTGGATTATTCGTGATGTTTCCCGATCCTTCTTGATACACATTACGTGTTACCAGAGTCACGTGACTTCCGCTTTCGTAACACTGCCCCTTCAATAGAATTGTTCGTCCCAAACAATAGCCACTTAAATTAAACCAATAAATAATGAACAATAACTTAATTAAATGTACAGAACTTACACACACAAAATTAAAATTCAACAAAGTCTCTTATATTAACGGGACGTAGCTTCTTTCGTACTGGCTTCTGCTTCACGTGAGGTTCATCTGCTCCATCAGGAATTGTTCTATTATCGGTAATAGTCACATCAGTGGTTAGTAACTTCATCACGGGCTTC